CACAAACACACACACATTCAACCAACACCAAGCCCTGTGGCGTCCACCTCCTAAATATTTTTGAATCCACATCCCTTTACTCCCATGGCCACTGGCTTGTTTGGACTACCGAAGTGGTCTCCTAAATTACACGCTCATCACTTGTTCACCTCTGATCCATGCTGTAAATTTCTACCAGAATAATATTCCAAAACTGATTACATCACTCCTCTGCTCAGAATTCCTCAATGTCCCCTAACTGGCCCAACAAGACAAAATTAAAATTCCCAACATGCCATAAAAGGCCCTCTTAAACTGGTCTCCCTCCACAGCCTCACCTCCTCCTCCCCGCACCCCCCACGCCCCGCCCCAAGCAGCACAACAGATGCTCCTACCTGTACTTTCCCAACAGCCCATGGCTCTCCCACGCCACCATTTCTTTGCTCATTTTAGTCCTTTTTCATGAATCTGGTTTTTTGCTGATGGTATCTGCCCTTTCCCAAACCATATTCCTTAACTACTTGCCAAAATCTCACTCTTTTCCAAGTCTTCTTGGATTAGGAAGACTTCTTGGACCACCCTCAGACAGACTTACTGCCCCCCTTTTATATGTTCTCATTGTACTGTCTATATTTAAGTACTTAAAACTACTATAATTATTGTATTGTAATGATCTGTTTCACCATGAGAACCTGGAAGTTTCACCATGACCTCCCCAGCATGTAAAATGGAATCTGGGTCCGAACAGGTACTCAGCAAATGAACAAACGAATGAACAAACAAAGTTAGCCTACCATATAAGAATTTAGTTGTCCATAACCCAGAATATTTGGCCACAGACTTTTGGACTCCCAGGAACATCTTTTACCAGAAGTCCCAGTTTAGCCTCATTGCTCTGAAATGTCTCCCTGCTTAGATATTTCGGATATTTTTTTTTTACAGCTTTACTATACTTTATTTTTTGAATACATGGCTTTGATTTTATCTATTTATTATTATTTTTATTTTTCAATTACAGTTGACATTCAATATTATTTTATATTAGTTTCANGCGCAATGATGGTGCCAACTTGGGCCAGTGAAGCAACGTCCTCCACAACTAGACTGAAGAACAAAACAACAGCAACTTGTCTGTGCCCCTTCCCCCAATTCCCCAGCACTGTTCCCATCCCCCCAATTCCCCAACAAAAATCTTTAAAAAAAAAAAACAAGCATTGCTCATCTTATATTATTGATGCTATCTTCCAATTTATGTCACTTTTAAATTTGCTCAGTACATTCAAGCACATTAATCCTAGTACCCTCTGAATTAGGTAATATGTTCCCTCTAACTTACGGATAAGTAAAGCACCTCTAGAACCTCAAAACTCCATTCTTGACCGTAGATCTATCTCTTTGTTTTATCCGGTCATGGCCTGAGAGTTAGATTTCTACAGTTAAAATGGCCAATAACATGCTGAAATATTGATAGGTGAAATGATAGGTATCTTGGATTTGGAAGGGGTTAGTGGGCGGATAGAGAGATGATACATGACAGGCCTAAAGTATCAATTATTGAAACTGGGATGAGTACATTAAGTACTCTCTTCTATTGTAGAAATGTATGAAATCTTCCACAATAGTTAAAAAAAAAAAAAGCTGAGAAGTAACATTAAATAAATTAATGAAATGGTCCTTCTTAAGGTGTTTTGCTAAAGATAAGAGAATTCCTGCTGAAAGGTTTTACACTAACTTCACCCATTAGCTACATGAATCTAATATAAACTAATTCTTTTATATCCAACTGGAAATTGGCTGAGTAGCTCTGCAGTGCAGAACTTAACAGGAGGCCCCAAATATTTGAGATATATAGAAATGGCTAAGTCTCTTGCGTTTTAGTTTACTGAAAATGCTGCACTCTGAATGCAACATGACGTCCATAGAATAATGTGTTTCTCATTGTTGCCTAGTTTTTACAGTGTCAGGTAGCAGAATAATAAGCAAAGTGTACTCTCACTTTCTGTGTATAAGATTTAACTGTGTTTTGCAGAGCCTCCAAGTCACATGCTCCTAAACAGAAACCGAGGCCTTAGATAACCACCATGGATCATTCTGTAAAATTGCATCTGGGCTCAGACAATGAAGATGAAAAAGTTTTTCCCCCAAAGAAACCTATATTGAATCTTTAACTTGTGGATTCCAAGTGTGTCAAGACAAACCCAAAGAACAGTAGGGTTTTCCCTCTAAAAAAAAAAGGAGTTTGCTGGAAATGCTGCTATTCGAGAAATCAAAACTGCCTCTTCTTTGAGACCAACATCTTACATAATTTTCCCAGCTGAAGCAGAGCAGGTCCTTAGGATCCTGGAAAGGAATTTAATGAACAGGTATCCTGATCGAGAATGGGCGTCACGACCCTATTGCCTTGGACACTGGCCTCAGAAGGGAAGAAAAGAACATTTAGGGGTTGAAGGGCCCCTTACTTAGATCCCTGCCCAGGGGAGCTCAGAGCACCAGCAAAGGACGGGCCATTGGTCACGATGCAACAAGAACATAACTGACACCATCATTTATTTGCACACATAGGCATTTGGAGCTTTGGCATCCCTTTTTCAAGCTATGCTCAGAAATAAAATTAAATATCAAAATAATTTAAAGGTTACTGGCAAGAAAAATAAAAGCACATATTCTGATCTGAAGGACAGCAACATTATGACCACCACAAATAGGAATGAAAGCAATTACACAGATTAATAAGAAAAAAATGTTAAGGCAAATGTTTCCTTCTCTGAATAACACATGACATTTTCATCCATATTCCCAAGATCAGATTGCTAAAAAAAAATTAAATATAGGCATTCATTGCTATTTATACAAAGATCAAAATATAAACTTAAAGAATTGTTAAGAGATCTTTTTGCTACCTCTGGTTGTGTAATACATATAATAAATTATGGGTTCCTTCTTTGGAAAATCAGTTATATTGAATTATTTTAATTATGAGATATAGAAAGGGATGCAAGTATGTAACTATAACAATGAAATATTACATATAGCATTTGATATTTTCCTAACTTAGGATGAATTTTCCTTAAGACTAGTACGAACAACTTCAGACTGCCCTGTTAGGGTGCGTCACGAAGAGACTGAATGTTTTGCACTCACGTGTGACAGCAGAGCCAGCTCATGGTGACATGTGACGGCGTTCCGGTTGGCTTCCATAAAATACCTCTGTGTGCGCCTCCGCTCCCGTTCCAGTTTCTTTTCCAAGGCCAGCTGGGATATAGATAAGCTGTCTAAATACTTCATCATGACATCCGATATCATGGAGCTGACTTCTACAATATCTGGGCGGGCTTCTGCATCAGGAGTGAGGCACCTAAGAGAAGATAAACTAATTACTACACTCTGGTCAATGTCAGGATCTGGCCACAGGGTGTGGAGGGTCAAAGTTAAATTCTACTGTGTGTCCACCATGGGGTAAGATAGACGTCAAGCATAGTTTTGAATCCAAGACTTCTCAAGAGGCATTTGAAAAGTTTGGGAAGGAGAGAGAGGCAGCACTGCTCTCTTTGCAACTGGACTTGGCAGGCAAGGGTTCCAGACTGATCACGAAGCTGTTCGTTGGGTCTCCAGATAGGCGGGTGGGGTTATCTTCTCCTGTGTGAACTGGTTAATTTCTAAAAATCACTGCCAACTCACTGGTCAGTGAATCAAAGAGGGGTACTAATTATACAGGCCCGGAGAATCACCCCTGATGCACCAAAAGGAAGAAAGTTTTCTGGGGAGGGTGGGTTACAATTTATTGGCCTTTTCCAGCTGCATAGCAGCAATATCAAACACAACCTAATCAGTGAGTGTCTTACAAAACACGAAGTCAAAAAAAATAAAATAAAATAAAATGCAGCCCAGTTACTTAGAGGTTTAAGATGTTTGTAGTAAATTTTTCTTTAAAAGTAGCTAATTGACACATTGCATGCTAATATTTTCTGTGATTTTGGGGGGTAGGAATTATCAATCAGCCTACTAAAGGGAGTATTGTTCATGTCACAGCCAGACACTAATAGAAGGCTATTCTAGATGCCCATGGGATCAGTTATAGAGACCACTGGTTCGCATGTATTCAATACTACTGGCACTCACTATAATATTTTCTCTATTTTTTAAAATTCAAATACTCTAACTTCACTGAAGTCATGTGTGCTTTTCAGTAAAATTGAACTTGTTTGGGCTTTGAGAGAAAGACCCAATTTTCACATCTTGTATTTGATTTAGCAACCCACAGTTAATATAACTTTATTTTATACTGATGTCTCCAGGCGAGATTTAAGAATTATTACACACAATTTTTCTTCAAAACAAGTCAAAATAAGACTCTAACTTATTAATGTGCTAATTATTCTTTCTTACTGAGTTTATTAGCCATGATGTCTTAATCGGATTTTATGACATTACTTTATCATTTCATGCTTTACCTTTAGGCTACTCCTTTTTAAGTTCTAAGGCAGTGGGCTTAGTACTATGGTTATGACAGGCACTTACACATCTTCTGAATTCACATATAACAAAGTTCAGTCTATGCATTTATTATACACAAAGTAAGGCAAGAGGTTATGGAGATAGGGCCAGCTACATACTTTGTGGGGTACCCAGTAAAAGATGAAAATGTGGGGCCCCCACAGAGAGTGGAGAAGTCTAGCTCCCCTTTCCACAATCCAGCATCCTAATTGACGATAGATGGGAGGCCCCAAAGAGTTGCACCCTCCATGCCCACAGGATGTAATAGGCCCCCACTGAGTCACCCAGCAAACACGCCATGGTGCTGCCAGCCTGGTCAGGAATGGCCTCATCTTGGCCCCGCCCCAAGATAGAGCAGGGTACATACTGCATCCTGACCCTCTCCTCACCTGCAGACACACCTCATGGGGGAGGAGGGTAAAGGTGGAAACAGCCGTCCCCTGTTGACACACCCAATCACCAAACTAGGTAAAGGGCACCAGCAATGATGAGACAGGGACAAGGAGACAAAACTGGAGGCCAGGTGGGGGCAAAGGAGGCTGGGAGTAGATGGCTGAGAATCTATGCCAGAGAAGCAGGGAGCTGGAGGGACCGTCAGTGAGTCGAGGCTCCAAGCCTGCAACACACATGCTCCTTGTCCCATCAGACTTCACTTCCAAAACACAAATTCAAAGATAAAATTAAGTTCATGACCTCAAACACAGAGCCTTAAACCCAGACCACAGGACCCCTGTGAGTGTGGAGGCCCCATGTATAGTCATAAACATGTGAAGCCAGCCTTGTGTGGCAATAACACATTTGTATTCAAGTTTCTTACTTTTATTCATAATCACAAAAGAATCTAAGTGGTGAATTTCACCTTCTAATTAAATCAGTTCCTTCATCTACTCTCACTTAATTAGCAAAAGGGATAAAAGCTGATAAAAGTGTTTGGTTGCCCTAGTGTTGCTTATGACTGCCATGTGAGCAAAAAAGCCAAACAGACAAACGAAACTTTCAGCATCCAAGCCTTTCATCAGAGCAGATATTCTAAATTCTTGGTCTGCAGATACTTAAAGTGATTTAAAGGTAATATTAGCTTGCTTTTTTTTAATCAAAAGGCAATATGAGTTAGTTTTACAAATTTATAGTATATTTTGGTAAACAAGAATGAGAATGGCCCCTGTTCTGGCATTTAGTCATTTCCTACTCTCCCAAAGTTATGCCTCATCCTGTATTTGCCATTCCTGGAAAAGGAACCACCTGGGAGATACAGTTTAGCATCATAAGTAGGCCTGCATGCTCTAGGTCACACTGCTGGGCTTTAAATCCTGACTCACCTTTTATTAACTCTGATCTTGAGCAAGACCTAGTTTCTAAGCTTCAGACAGCCCACATACAAAATGAGATGATCATAGTATTTACCTCACCAAGTTGGTATGGTGATTACATAAAGCCACCCTAGTAAAATGCTGACACATTATAAAAGCTCAGTAAATTAAAAAGAAATT